GTTTGTGCTGTTTATGGTGCTTTTATTTGACTTTTTTTTTCTTTTGTTATTTTGGGGACTTGAGAGTGAACTGTTGTTTTGTGAGACATGATGCATAAAGTGATTTAAAATCTCTTTTTTTTTTGTTCAACAGAAAGAAATAACAGCCTATGGGTTAACAGCATGAGAGTAAATAATGACGAAATTTAGTAATGTATTTATTATGTTTGTGCTGTTTATGGTGCTTTTATTTGACTTTTTTTTTCTTTTGTTATTTTGGGGACTTGAGAGTGAACTGTTGTTTTGTGAGACATGATGCATGATTTAAAATCTCTTTTTTTTTTGTTCAACAGAAAGAAATAACAGCCTATGGGTTAACAGCATGAGAGTAAATAATGACGAAATTTAGTTGCACTTCAGTGCCTTAATGATTTACATCTAGATGTGTTTTTAGGAATAAAAAGGCACATTTAAATCATTGAGATATTGAAAGTGTTACTTAATTTTTAATTGCCAACAAAATGATTGCAAATATATCATGTATATTTGATGCACGGCCCAGCTCTATATCTATGCCGCAGCACCACAGAAGTTACTGTGAGGATTCAGTCGTTTCTACAGAAAGTACAAAATAACTTGTGAGAAGTTTCTGAGGCGAGCCGTGTTTGATTGTGCCGGCTTTGTGTTCAGTGGGATTTTGACATTGTTTAAAAGCTTTGCCACAGAGGATCTTAAGTGACTTGAAAGTTACGAGCGCTTTTACCTTGTTTTCTCTTTGTGATCAGAAGTTTCACTCGCTGAATTCCCCGAGGCGTTCCTCCTCTCTGTGTGGTTCGTACAGTATCTGAAGGAGCGTTTCACTGCATATTTTGATCATTTCTTGTACCCTGAAGGGTTACGATTTCACAATCTTGCATGTAATGTGTGCATCTTGCCTTTTCTCTGTCTAGCGGCGGTATATCGATATCAAAGTCTTTTAGCGCCCGGATAATTGCCTTTTTTGCATTTTACAGGAGCTGTTGTTATTCGACATGCTTTCAGCATCACTGTAATCAATAGTTAAAGGGGTCATATGATGCTTTTTTAAAGATCATTATTTGGTGTATTTGGTGTAACAGAATATGTTGACATGCTTTAATGTTCAAAAAACACATTATTTTTCAAATCCTGTACATTATTGTAGGTCCTCTATGCCCCGCCTCTCTCAAACCCTTCGTTTTCTACAAAGTCCCTCCTTCCGACAAGCGCAGTCTGCTCTGATTGGCCAGCTGACCCAGTGCATTGTGATTGGCCGAACACCGCAAGCACTCGTCGGAAATGTAACGCCCCTTACCATAATCGCCAGCTTCATCTTTCAAAATAAATGTAAAGACAGTAAATAATGTCATTAGTTTTACCATCACTTCAAGCCCGAAAGGGGAACAGAGTCGCGTGACAGACACAGTGATGAAGCTGGTATGTGTTTGCAGTACACAAGCCACGGTTAAGACAGCTCACTCCCTCTCACTCTCTCTCTCTCTTGCTCTCTCTCTCACACACACACACACACACACACACGCGCGCGCATTTGAACAGTCAATAGCAAACACTTAAACTAATAACAAAACAGTAGCTGATTCAGAAGCGCCAGATTGTCAGAGCAAAGTCAGAATGACCTCCTCTCCTAGGTTCACGAAACGGTCGGCCATAAAATGCATTGCTGTTCTGTTGTAAGTGATCTTAAAGATTCCTAAATGCATCTACTTTCGGAAGGCCAAATAAAGTGCTTTTGCTTTCGCCTAGAAACACACAGCGTCTCCCTGACATGCTGCTTCAACACTAACTGCGGTTACTGAAACCACGCCTTCTTTCTTTGCGTGCACATTTGGGCGGCATTATGCAAATATTTCCACATAGTGAGGTAGATATGTGGGGGCGTGTTAGAACGAGGCATTTTAGGGGGGCGTGGCAGAGTCTTAACTTTGATAAAGAATATCTCTTTGGTTTTGAGACTTTAGTCTTTGCAACTTCAGGGATCTTATCTATGCACAATCAGCTTGTAACACTCCAAAGAGAAAGAACAACTTGAAATCGCATCATATGACCCCTTTAAGGAAAATGTCACGGCAAATGGAATTTAGAAAAATGTTTCTCAAGGTCAGTGATTTGATCCATCAGGCAGAGACTAAATCGATGCGAGTACGATTGAGCTGCCTGGAAATGAACAATCACACATGAGATTTCAGTGATATCTCTATTGTTTCTCTTAGACAGCAATGAGATTGAATGGAGACTCAAAAGAGATATACATTTTTCAAATTTTTTTTTTTTAGAAAATGAGCGATGGTTTCTCTAGATAAGACCCATATTCCTCGGCTGGGATCATGTAGAGCTCTTTGAAGCTGCACTGAAACTGTGATTTGGACCTTCAGCCCGTTGGTCACCATTGAAGTCCATTACACGGAGAAATATCCTGGAATGTTTTCCTCAAAAACCATAATTTATTTTTGATTGAAGACAGAAAGACAGACATGTATATCTTTAATGACGGGGGGGGGGGGGGGGAATAAATTTGTATTCTGGAAGTTAACTAATTTTTTTAATACATATAAACTGGGTTTATTTAGCATCAATAAATCCTATTGATTTCAATCTCATATTCATAACTAATTGAATGTTGCTTGTTCCAAAGCTATTTAACCATGTTCATAATTTTTAACTGAATAAATTTAATTGTTTTCACAATGAACAGATTTATGCAATTTGAATAAATGCATTTTGGAAATATGATTATTTAATCAAATCAAACAGATACCAATAGTTAATAATAAATTATGCCATTGATTTTTTTTTTTTTTGAGTGCTGAAATCTTATCTGTTTCATTTTTTATGACTGACAAATGTGCATCACATAAGTTCAGATACCAATAGTTAATAATAAATTATGCCATTGATTTTTTTTTTTTGAGTGCTGAAATCTTATCTGTTTCATTTTTTATGACTGACAAATGTGCATCACATAAGTTTATCAGTTTGTTTATGTTGAAACTGTGTAATCCAAATGCATGGAAATTGTATATGCAACTCATATATATTTCACAAAAATATTTTTTAGCTTGAAATTTATGAGACATTCTCTCATGAGACACTTTATGAGACACATACATTTCTTTATATACATATACAATATATATATATATATATATATATATATATATATATACTGTGTATATATATATATATATATATATATATATATTGTGTATATATATATATATATATATATAAATCTAATAAAAAATATGTATAAAAATGTACTAAAACTTTAACTAAAATTAAAATATAGAAAATAATATCATATTTTTTATGATAAAATATACAAATAAAATAAAGTAAAAATAGTAATTCAAAACTAGTATCTCAGTAGTAAACTGATGCTGTGGGTTGTCTGTGATCTGTGGCTCAGGCCCGGTTAGTGTGTGTGAGACCGTGAGGTCAAACTTGTCCTCTAATTATCCCAGAGACACCGGTGAGCGTCTGCGAGCACTCGTCTCTTCTCCAGTGCTCAGTTTCCATGGGATACGAGCGTCCGGCTCTGTGCGCTATCGATCCAGCTGTCAGTGCGCTGTAATTAGTTTCCTTTCTTCCATGGAGACGAAGAACACCTTGTGCTTTATAGCTGTGTGATTCTGATAATGGTGCGTCTCTCTCATTTATGGCTGAAGTTTGAAGTCGTCTCACATCCGCAGCGGTTCACACACAGACTGATCCCCAAATTACACTTTTGCAGGCCTGAAGGGCATTGTGGGAATGACGAATGCGTTATCCGTTGGGATGTTCGAATGAAAGTGAACCGTGTGATTGCTTGACAAACACCAGGCTGTTGGTGAAGTAGAAGGATGTTAGTTATTTCCAGTATGATCATGATATCACAGGTGGCTGAATTCATGATTCATTCTGAAACCTGAGCTAATTTATGAACTACTTTACATGGAAATTCAATTACTAATTGTACTAATTCCACAATTGCTCTAAATAGTATGAGGGTGAACCTCACAAAACATGCAGAGCATATTCATATTATTGCAGCAATGATAATCTTTGAGAATCACCACTGATAGTAAATAAAAATGACAAAAGAAAATATCCAAAGTAAAGCAAAGGTGCTTAATTTTCAAGTCAAAATGAATGAATAAATAAATAAATAGAATTAAAAGTAATAAACTTTTAAGCAGCAAAAACTCTTTTCAACATTGATAATAAGAACCGTTATTATTAACTAAGCATCAAAATCAGCATATTAAAATGATTTCTGAAAAATCATGTGACACTTGAATTTTACTTTGAAATTTAACTAAGCTAATTATTTTATGTTGTAGTAATGAGTGAGGGGATTTTTTTTGCATTCTATAAAATTGTCATAACGTCATAAAAATGTTCCTTTTCTTTAAGCATTTGATAAGAGGCTTACATTCTTTTAAATTATTTTAAGGCTTGGGAAAACAGTTACTTGTAATGTTGTATTTTGTGTGTGTGTGTGTGCATGTTTATGTGGTTTATGAGGACACAAATTTGTATAATAACATGGGTATGACGTAGGGGCTTTTTAAAAGACACCCTTAATAACAGGTCTTGACTTGTTTGGTCCCACTCTGTATTCACATTTGTTTCTTCCCTTTTTTTATGTTTAAATAACGTAAAGTCCTGTGCACTGATAGACATGCAAATATGTTTAACGCTAGACCAACAAGTGCTCATAAAAATCACAGATCAAAATGATCAGAGCCAAATAATGTGCGTTTTCTGTGGAAATGAAGGTTCAGCGTTTGTTTGCTTTGGTTTGTCAGTCACAGATTATGTTCCACGTGATGTTGTAAAATAATTATGTTTTGCGTCATTATAGGTAATATATAGTGCAGCACATGCCAGCTGAATCCACTCACGTCCCGCCCAAAGGCGTGCTTCAATTCTCCCACATCTTTCTGAGAAGTACTTCATTTCCAGTTTCAGTTTTTCAACAGATAAAACCTGAAATTCGAGATGTGTGTGTGGTGAGGATCCTCTATAGACGGCCTTAATGGGTGGAGGCCAACAGCAGAAAACAGGAAGGTGCTGATAGGATGCTCCAAAGTTCGCCGGCACACCAGAGGAGCGCTAGATCTTGCTCCAGATCGACTGCAGATGGACAGCCGGGGAAGGACTCTATCATTGCACAAATGAAAGCGATCGAAGAATGTCCCAGCGTACAACTTAATGTGATTTTTCTCATTTGTGGATATGAGGTTTCTAGGAAGAGTCTTGTGGAAATAATGAGAGGACTGTGTCTCTGACCGCTGGATCATTATTTGAAGCTTCTCAGTTGGAGATATTGTTACTCGTCTGGATATGTGGCCTCTGAGTGTTGCCATTTTTTTGCTCTACTTTGCAGGTGAGTAATAAGAATCCACTGTATTTCTTTAAAAATATATTTTATTTTTAATTTTTAAAAAAAATAAAGTTTTTTGTTAATTATTTTTTATTTATTGTATTTTTTATTATTCTTTTAATTAAAAAAATATGTATTTATTTATTTATTTATCTATCTATCTATCTATCTATTTATTTATTCATTCATTTCAAAATGACAATGAAATCTGCTTTTTCCTTGTGTGTTTTTTAAATTGAGAAAATGTACAGGCCATAAATATTTTTCTTACTGACCACGAAACTGTATTTTCCATTGTATTTCTTTAAAAAAATATGTTAAATATTTTTAAAAATTAAAAGTATATAAATAATAAATATTTATTTATTTATTATTATTATTATCATTATCATTATCATTATTCATTTTCAAAATTACAGTAAAATATGTTTGTCCTTGTTTGTTTGTGACAATCAGCCAAGGTTATTATAATTAACTAAAACATGAAACTAAAAAAATTATTTCAGTATAAATAAAATATAATTTTTTTTTAAAACTGCTAGCTGCCAAGGCAACATTTCTAATTTTTACTTAGTTTAACTTGATGACTAAAATAATATTAAACTATATTAATGACTAAAATTATAAAAATGAAATAATAAAATATATAGACATATTAAAAAAATATATATATTTACTAAACCTCAAAATTTAATAAACAGTTTTATTAAAATTCTTAATAAAAACCATAATCTCAATGACACTAAAGTGCTATTTAACTGAAAATGAATATGAGATGCCAGTGTGTGATTTGCTTGTGTCACATCAGGCCGTACTAGATACGATCCGGTCTAAACTACTTCAGTTTACACCATGCATTATGTTTCCATTTATAATCAAATTACACTCCACCTGACAACCTATTGTCTTCACATTTTCTGTGAGTGTTCATCCGTAGAGGTCAATCTCTTTACATGAGCAAGACTTTCTGCAAAATCCTGCTGGTGTATCTAAAGCCGTTTCAAAACGTGCAGAGATTATTCATCCAGGCTCATGATCGATGGAGAACCATGTGGATCATCATCTCGCTGTCAGAAGCTCGTCAAGCTCTGACCATCGACTGCTGCAACTAGAAAAGGAAAGTTGGTCAAGAAGAAAGTTTGAAAAAGCCCTGAGGTTTAAAGGTTATATATTCATTGATTCGTGTCAAACAGCCTGAAGAACTTGAGCAGGTTTGTGGATGCCTCTTAGAAGCATGTTGTTTCCTCTCCTGGTAGCGTGTTGAACGATAATCTGAAGAGGCAAGCGCTTGAAACTCAGAGGAGCTTCTGTCTGTGTGTGTTATAGTGTGTTATCAAACGCTTAGCTCCGGTCCTCGATTCTGATTGGTCAGCAGCTGTGTTTTATTCACGATAAAGCCCAATGGTTCTGTGTATCACTGTGCAACACCCTTAGCAACAACATAAACGATCAATATATAGCCTTAAAACTGTTCCATGCATTGTGTTTGTTTGTTATTTTATTTAATGAAGTATGAGTGAACCCTGCTGGTGTTATGATGCATCATTCACCTGTAGTTTTGAGGCCAAGCCTTTTCCCGCATGGGCGATACCTCTTATTTTATTTTCAATCCGATACCGATATTTCACCGATACCGATACCTCTAAACTAAACTGATCTTTTAAATCATTAAAATAATAAAATCAGTAATCATACTCCCTTAACATTATATTTGAAAGACATGTTTATTTTTTAACATTTCATAGGCCTTTTTTTGTTTACACCGTCAGAAATAAAATGTACTAAATTTGTATTGTAGCTCTTCAAAAAAGTAACACATCAATCCATACATTTGTGTAACTGTTTCATAAAAGCAATACGGTACTCGAGGCGTGCTGTATTGTGAATTAGTTTTAGACAAAAGACATTTATTCCAGAACATCATTAGCTGATTTCTATATAGATGGTCTGGTAAAGAGCTTTTAGACTCAAAACGTCACCTGTGATGAGAACATAATTAAATATTTTTCTACTTTTGGAGCTGTGCCAATTTTCCCGTTTTATATATAGATGGTCACAACACAATGGAAGATGTTCACAGCCCTGTAGATCTGTCTCACTTTATTGTTCTGGTTTGCAGGTTGCTGGGCTCAGAGCTGTAATCGGACGAAGGCTTATTTTGAGTCCTGGAATTTCTTCAGCGTTCTCCATTGGGACCCTGTTGATGTTCCTGGTCAAACGCTTCTCTACAGCGTCCAGTTCAACCTGTGAGTGACAGAGACCAGAGCAAAACATGGCTGGACCTTTGCTTTTCTTAGAACCTTTGCTTCTTTCTTAGAAATGTGTCCAGTACAGATCTCTCTTATGCCACTGATTTTGCTGTTATATGCTAGGTATAATTGCACAGAGAAGGAGATTTATAACTATATTATCATATTAATATATTATATATATTTATTAATATATATATTAATTAATCAAAAAAGATATAACATATATGACATTATCATACAGTATATTTTAGTGTAGTTTATGTATTAAATTTATATTATATATATATTATTACATATACTAACATATAAATTGCATACGTGCTTGTACATATGTAAATAATAATAATAGTATTAATAATAATATACATAATTATCCATGCATATTTTAATATATGCAATAGCAATAATATTTTTAACGAGAGCAATTTATTAGAAGAAAAACACAAAGCACTGAAGTTGAAGAAAACGCACACATTCGACACAGTACATTTTCCTTCTCTTTATTTTCTATCTTTCCATTCGTCCAGCACCTGTTTTTTTCATGCTAATGTCATACCCGTTCACATGATAATATCATTTTTTTTAAAAACATCTGAAATAATTAGTAGCGTTTAAAATATATAATAAATCAGTTGGCCATGGGTTTAATGCTTTCCTGTCAGTCCTTCGGTTTTCTGTGAATAACACTGTGAAGTCTGTGACTCGTGACTTTAGTGAAGGACGCGCTGTGGTCAGCCGGCTGTCAAACTCTGAACTGCAATTAGAAAGCAGCAGGAAGAAGCTGCGTCTGCGAAATGTTGCAGGCCCTTTCTGGCCTTGGCACCGAATCTTCCGCACCAGTCACAGTTGCGCTTTACAGAGAAACTGATGGGGGAAAATAAATGTGATGGGAACGGAGGGAGCAGCAGTGCATGCTGGGAGGGTCAGTGTGGCAGACAGACGGATGACGGGATGAGAGAGGAAAGCGTCAGAAGCTCCAGATAATCCCACATCAGTCCAACCTCCTAAACTCTCCACCCATCAGTTCATATAAGAGCTTTTGAGCTGTTTTGAGCTGCTCTTTGTTTTGTGTTTTTGCTCAGTTATTCAGTAGTACAGTGTGTGTGTGTATACACTTATACATATATAGTATGTGCATATGGTTGATTACAGCAAAACAGTATATATATATATATATATATATATATATATGTGCAAAACATATGTGAGGTTCATATAAGAGCTTTTGAGCTGTTTTGAGCTGCTCTTTGTTTTGTGTTTTTGCTCAGTTATTCAGTAGTACAGTGTGTGTGTGTATACACTTATACATATATATTATGTGCATATGGTTGATTACAGCAAAACAGTATATATATATATATATATATATATATATATGTGCAAAACATATGTGACCCTGGAGCTAAAAAGCAGTGTTAAGTCGCTGGGGTATATTTGTAGCAATAGCCAAAAATACATTGTATGGGTCACAATTATTGATTTTTCTTTTATACTAAATTATATTTACATTCGGATATTAAGTAAAGCTCATGTTCCATGAAGATATTTTGTCAATTTCCTACCATAAATATATCAAAATTAAATTTTTGATTAGTAATATGCATTCCTAAGAACTTCATTTGGACAACTTTAAAGATGATTTTCTCAATATTACATTTTTTTTGCACCCTCAGATTCCAGATTTTCAAATAGTTGTATCTCGCGCCAAATATTGTCCGATCATAACAAACCATACATCAATAGAAAGCTTATGTATTCAGCTTTCAGATGATGTATAAATCTCAATTTAGAAAAATTGACCCTTATGACTGGTTTTGTGGTCCAGGGTCACATATTTCTTATATACTATTTATTTTTATAGATTATTTCTAAAATGATATAAATAATATTCATGTTATAATTATTTTACAATAATTCAGTATTTCATTTATTTAACAAATTTATATAAATTAGTTTTGTTTTTAATTTTGTATGTTTGTTTTTCTTTTTTTGCTAGAAATAATATTTACTTTAAGTTTAACCTTAATTTTAAAATAAATTAAAATTAAAATTAATTAATTTAAATTAATTTAAAATTAATAAATTTTGTAATGATTTGTACATTTTGTTTTTTGTTTTTTAAATCTAAACATTTTTTTATTTCTTATTTCTAGCAGTGCTTTTTTATATTTTTAGGAAATATTTATTTTCTTAATCTTATATATATATGTATATACATATTTATTTTTTAGATATTTGTAAAATTATTTGAAATATAAATTAAAAAATATATATAGCAGTTGCTAGTTAGCTGCTTTTTATTGTTGAAATGGCTGCCATTTATATTTTTACGTGTAATTGAACAAGTTCAACAAAAACAAACCGTTTTTGCGCATTACAAACTTGTGATTAAGGTAATTACACAAAGAATTTACATTTATTGACTTTATGACTTGATATGGGTATGACTATATTTATGACTTGATGAGTTGTTCCAAAGATAACAATGAACGTGCAGATGTAACACATGCACACAATAAACAGGGTGTGTAATGATATATCACATGAAGAGCAGGAGAACTAGTATAGTTAGAATCTGGTTAGTCTGGTCAATTTAAAAGAGTTTCTGTGTGCGCTCACTGTGACTATAATTAAACCAAATGGGTTAAACATTAAATGGGTGATGATTCATAGAGTCTGGGAGTTGTTCTTGAGTGTTTGTGTCGTTCTTCTGACTGAGCTTTGTTCTTTTGCAGTTATGGGAAACCGTATGAACCGGTGACGTGGTGCCAGAACATCTCCACTCCTGTTTGTGACATGACGGATGTGATGACCCATGTGATGAGCGATGTGACCTCTAAATATCATGCCAAGGTCAGCGCCAGTGGACAGTGCCTGGCTGAGGTGATGTTCAAGCCGTTTTGGCAAAGTAAGTTATTTTGGACTTCTTTCTTTAGCACAAATTTGAGATCAAGTTCACCAAAAATGAAAATTAGCTGTTAATTTTTTAATCACTCTCGGCCTCGGGTCATCCAAAATGTAGGTGACTTTCTTCTTCAGTAGAACAGAGATTTTGAAAGAAGATTTTTAGTTGAAACCGTGGTGCTTGGTGATTAATAAAATGCAAGTCAATGGCTACCGGCATTTTAAGAGTCAAAAAATCATATCAGGCAACACGGAATGAATCCCCGTGACTCCTGACGATGTATTGAGGTCTTATGAAGCGAAACGATCAATCTGTGCAAGAAACTGAACATTATTTACTACATTATCACCTGTAATCCAGAGCCTCAGACAAACTGTTCGGAGTGATGTCCCATTCACAAACGAATCGTTCTTTTTAATTAACTGGATTGAACCAGTTCAAATCAGATCAAACTCGCTTTCAGACTCACATTTCTGACTGGAAATGAGCCGAAATAGAGACGTATCTGATCCTATGATGAATGAATCATTCCAGTTCCTCCAGCAGTCACTGAACTGAGAAAACCGTTCGACTCAGACCGAAGACCGATGAGCTGCTGATATGAGCATGCGTGAACCGAAAACTTGATGAAGGTGTGAAATGAAAGTTTTTATGGTTTCTCATTGTTTATGTAAACAGATGAGCTGATGAAGACTAGTTAATTCACTTTATATGCTTTAGACATGTAAAACATCTGCATTTCATATCATTATTGGATGCTTTAATAATATAATCGTGTATACGTTACGTCATTGCATGATTACGCAAATGAACTGAAATGAACTGTCCAAAAGAACCATGCAGTTCACAGAAAAGAATCAGATTTCCTGTTCGCCTGAGGATCTGGATTACAGGTGATAATGTAGTAAATAATGTTCAGTTTCTTGCACAGACTGATCATTTCGCTTCATAAGACCTCAATATATCGTCAGGAGCTACAGTGTTAATTTTTTGTTCCTTGATTTCCTTTTTTTGACTCAATAATGAGCAACTGCTGACTTGTATGGCGATTGAACTGTTTCAAAAGTAGCACACTTAAAAACCGCACTTGCAAGGGAGCATTTCTGCACTGCGAGCGCAGAACATTATCCGCACGCAAAAAATGCACTCTCGCGAGAACAGCTTGCTTGACCTGCTCTACCATAGATATGAATACATAGATGCCTCATTAGCGACTGTTTCAATGAGCTGCTATTCGTAAGCCGTCTGCCATATTGGAAGGGTCAACTTAACATCATTCACCATAATAATCAATGAATATTCGAAGATGCCACAGTCCTTACATATCTATGGTTCCGCCCCTCTCTTGCATTCTCACCTGTGAAAGGTTGTCCTGTTTCTTCGGGAATTTCAATCCCGGCGGTTGAAATTGCAATCCCTTGCTGTAGTTTTGTTGTTGCCGCCTCCGCCATGTCGTGAAGGCGCTGTGTGTTTCGCTGGCCTTCCAAAAGAGGACGATATCCACTTCATCATGCCTAGAGCTGATCCGTGCTGGTTGCTGAGGAAATACATCAACTTCACGCTGTGGGTCGCCAGATCAGCTTTCACCGTGGACGAAGCGGAGTCCAGCCCGGGGTCGTCACATGTGGTTGCCGCAAGACCGCCGGCCGCACCGTTCTCAAGCCCGCCGGCCGCCACTCACTCTAGGCCGCTGTGTGTAACACTGTGTGTTTCATTGTGAAAGTGAAACTACTTTGTTTGGCCTTCCAAAAGAGGACACGCCTAGAAATCAGTGGTTAAGTTGTATTTCCAACACTGTTCCAGAACATATCAACACAAATATTCAGATGTGTGCAGTGTGTTTATGGAGGACTGTTTCCTGATCCTGGTAAAGTAGACTATAATGCCGGTGTTGTGCCCAATTCTGACCCCCGCCAGATTACTACCCCCCTAGTATTGGTAGGTTTAGGGTTAGGTGTGGGGGAGGGGTCAGGATTAGGCAATCGGGTAGCGATTTCAATGAGAGGGGGTAATAATTTGGCAGGGGTCGAAAATGGGCACAACACCGGCTGTTCTCACAGACTATAAGTACGTTTTCATATTTAAAGGATTTGCCACTGATGATTCAAACGCGTGTTTTGGGCAGTGTAGAGTAGCGCTTGTTGTTTGTCATTTCTCCAATCACAAATGCAGACATGGTTTTATGTTTACGCGGCGCGATGCAACGCAACACGTAAAAAGACAGTATAAGTCATTATAATCAGTAATTATGTCCCCACTGGATGCAACAAATGCCTCGTTTGTAATGGGTTTTATTGGGATTACACGGCATCACAATATGGTGAGGGGCGTAACATTTCCATCACGTGCTTGAGGTATTTGGCCAATCACAACGCTCTGGATAGCTGGCCAATCAGAGCACACCTTGCTTTTCAGACCAATGAGCTTTGTAAAAATCGACGCGTTTCAGAAAGGCGGGGCATAGAGGAGAAACAATAATGTACAGTATGTGGAAAATAATGTGTTTTCTGAACCTTAAACCGCATAAAAACATTTCATTAAACCAAATACACAAAATAATGTTCTTTTTAGCAACATCACATGACCCCTTTAATACGCGATTGCACTTGAATAACATGCAAGTTTAAGAACATAAAAATGCATATATTTCAAAATAACAGCAATCATGGTCTTTAACCAAGATAACTTTAGCCTAAAGGCAGGTAAGGGTAGTTGACCACATTAATCCTCAAATATTAGCAGATTTTATCTTTTAAAAACAACATTGATCTACATGTACATACTACATTGTCTACTAATTACCAAAAACCGCAGTTCTGTCTCTCTAACTCAGTATTTCAATGGCCTTCTATCTGAAGTCTACGTGAATCACGGGACGATCAAGCATTTTGAACTTCTGTTGGCGCAGCTGACCAGTCACAGGAGCAGAGACATCTGACACTTGATCCCCGCCTCCAAAAATCTCAAAATTTGAGAGATTGTAGAGGAGTCAAGTTTTACTTTATGGTTTCTCAAAATCTGTTGTGTCTCATCTGTCTCTCTGTATCTGTTCTGTTTCACTCGTTTCAGCCACTTTTGCAGCACCGCAGCTGTCAGTAACGTCAAACCAAACCCATCTGAATGTGACGGTTTTGCCGCAGATGACAGCTTGGAGCTGCTCTATTGAGAATATCAGCTTTTGGGGAAAAGGTTTCCAGAGGCCCTCCATTAAGTACACAGTTCGCCTGACACATCCCAAATCATTGGCGGGAAAGGTTATTATTCCTGATTCTCCTTCAGCTGTATACATCCAGTTCCATTATTATTAGTTGCTCTCTCCATATTGTCCCCTCACGTTCAACTAAACATCTGTGTTATGTCTTTTTGCAGGTATTTGAGGACACGTCTCGCTCAGTGTTTATTTGGCTTGTGGAAACAGACGAGCAGTACTGTGGTGATGTGTTATATACGCTCACACATCCCGGTCGGTCCAGTCCCAGTGAAAACGCCTCCTTTTGTGTGACTGTCTCAGGTGATTCACAGTCTGTGCTCGTGTAGAAAACTAGTCCTCACTCCACTGACTGAATCTGAACACCCGTCATTTAGGAAAACGGTTCATGCTTTCTATGTTTTATTGTTTCCCTTCATTAATACCCTAATTAAATCTACAATTTACACATATTTATTGTTTTATTAATTCATACATTTTTATGCTTATTTTTTTATTTGCTTATTTATTTTTTCCATAATGAACCTTCAACATCTGAAGAACCTTTCTGTTTCACAAAAGCTTCTTTGTGGTGAAAGAAGGTTCTTCAGATTATAACAAGGTAAGAAAGAAATGGTTCTTTAAAGAACCTTTGACTGAATGCTTCTTTGTGGAACCAAAAATGGTTCTTCTATGGCATCGCTTGAAGAACCTTTTGAAGAGTGTAGAGCACTTCAGCGTTTTCATGGATTTTTTACCCGGTTTTGGAATTTGAGATATTATTTTTAAAAAAAGTCTTATCCGTTTGTAATGTGAAAAGATAAATCATGCATGTTGATGTTTGCTCAGTAAATTGGCTCAGTTTGGGTTGTTGCGTAACCTCGTGTTGATTAATCAAGTCAATATTGGACTTCATTGACAAAACGTCTTTCACTTTTACACTTCCCCATGCACTATGACTCGTTTGATGAATCAATTCTGCTTCATTCTGTTTCAAACACATGGAATCTGGAATCAATGTGTTCTTGAAGTATCCTCTGAGTAAATATTTCAATAGTTTAACAACACGTTTGCATGTCCGCGCGGTTCTCTGATGTTGGTTAATGGTCATGGCTTTTTTAGTGTTTTATTTATTTATTTTTTAGGGTTTAATTGATTGTTAGCATGTTTTATTTAAAAATTATTTATTTTAATTTTACATTTTTCTAGTTTAATTAGTTTTTAGTAAGTGTTTAGTTTTTTATTTCTTTTTTATTTGACATTTTATGATTTAATTAGTTTGTAGTGTTTTGAATGCAATGATATATTTTAATTTGACATACTTCTGATTTAATTGATTTTTTAATCAATTAAATTTTATTTTTTATTTAGGTTATATTTTATTTTAAATTGTAGTTTTATTTTATTTAGTTTTAATTTTAAAATACTTTATTTAAATTTTAAATTTTCTGATTTAATGAATTTTTAGTAGATGTTTTATTTTGATTGTTTTTAAATTATTTATTTAGATTTTAGATTTTATGATTTATTTAATTTGTTGTTTAAAGTGTTTTATTTTGATTGTTTTTATTTTACAATATCTTAATTTGTAATTGATTTTTGAGTGTTATATTTTGATTGCTTTTGTTCTAAAATTATTTATTTTAATGTGATATTTTATGATTCAGTTGATTTTAGTAAGTGTTTTATTTTGATTTTAATTTTAAGATGATTTATTTATTTAAATTTTACATTTTTATGATTTGAATGGTTTTCAGTAAGTGTTTTATTTGAATGGTTTTTATTTTAAAATGATTATTAGCTTTTCATCAACTCAGTTAAAAGTGATTAAACTGACCTAACGTCTCAGTTTCCTGGTATAGACTGGTGTCCCAAGAATTTACTTAAAAATATAAATATATATTCTAAATATCTGATAGGCTACGATTCAGTTCAAACTTTGGAAAAACTGAATAAAACTCAAAGAAGATGAAACAGTAGCTAAACATAAGAAATATAGATCATTTTAATTTTAATGAAATAAACAGCATCTTTTGAAACCTTGTCACCTAACAGACTAAATGATGAAGCTCTCTCCTCTCTATGTAAAACAGATCCTGCAAAAGATCAGCAGTCTTGCGTTTTATTCAGATTTCCGGGATGACACATCTGAAGTGGAAGTGTGGTCCGGATTTGATGAGAAGCTCGAACCGCAGGCTGTTTTTGCGGCACGGAACTCAGAGATCATGGGTAATGAGTCTTCTTATGCATCCCAGGACCACTGTGACCATGAGTGGAGACGCAATCAACCGGACGTCCCCGTCCAGAACAGCCCAGGGTCTTCTGTGCACTACAGCGTGTGTTCGCCCTGCCAGATCTCCATCGAACCATCATCCGATGACACGACAGATGAAACCAGCTCGGATTCATTCGGTCCAGAGTCAGAGTCAGTTTTAATACACCACTTTGAAAACAGCAGCGGGCCACTGGTGGTACCGGTTAGACCGGCTGAAAATGGTCAGCTGCAGTTTCATGACCTTTTGTTCCAGCGTGACACTGGTCAAAGTTCTCCAGTCCCTTCCCAGGATTCAGAAGGTTTAACTGGAGAACGAACTCCTTTACTATCTGACCTCATTCAGAACAACTCATCCGACCTGCCTGTACACGTTTCTGACGTCGTGACGTCAAACTACAGACAGAACTGGCTGCCGGGGATCCCTCTGGAGGGACAGCGAGACCAGAGGACTTATGTTATGAGGACAGACCACCTGCAGGACACAACTGACCTGATGAGGACCTCATCGATGAAGAGTAACTTGGTGTGATCTTTCTGGACAGATGGATGGTGGAGATGCAGGGATTGTCTTTGCCTTGCAACTAATAGAGTTTATTTTCCTCCCAGTGCTCATCTGAGCACATTCCTGCAAGATAAAGAGATGTTTGAAGATCTTCTGTAGGGTTTCGCCAGCTCGTTGCATAGAAAGTGGCGCAAGATTGAGAGTTCATGCAAACGTTCAGGCGTACAATTTCTCTTAAGGGTCTTTCCGTGTGAAATCACCCAAATTTCTGAAACTTCCCCAGCTAAAATGTTTGATTTTGTTTATTTTTTTCTGAAAGACAAACATAAATAGTTATGAAAGCCAACATATTAAATGCCACAGATGAATGTTTACTGAGGCAAGTTACAGGTGGGGAAAAATGACTTTAGAAAGATGGCAGTATCATGATGCTATTTTTACACAGATATCGGTAGGTCTATTAGTAAAATCAGTTGACTTTAGCAATCTTTGTTGCATTATATGTCAATGATGACCATTCAAAAAAATCGGGGGAAAAGCCCTTTTTGTGTTTTTTCCAAGGTTTGCATGCCTGTAACTCAAGAAGTATTAAAGATATCTTAATGTTCTTTTAGACGTTGGTTTTTAAGAAAAGTTTCTTTTGTAATTTTCATTTTTAAGGCCCTTTATAGTTCAATTCCAGAGATATTGGGATCTCAATTTGGCTCCATGAGAAAATTGTTAAACTCTACACATTCTCAGTGGTCAAAATCCAAATGCAAATACAAAATAGTGGATTACTTAGTGAATATTCATCTATGGCATGTAATATTCTTGCTTTCTTCCACATTTATGTATTTCTTTCAACGGGGGGGGGGGGGGGGGGTGTTTTATAACAGGTACGAGCTGTAATGGCACAGCTCTATTGTGGGGGGGGGGGGGGGGGGGGGCATTTTTAGCTGTGGACCTCTGGTTGAGTTGACATGTAATGACACTAACGGAAATTTCAAAAGCAACGAGTGTTTTCAAACTGGAACTTTGACTGAAACTAAGCTTATCTGTAGCATTGCCATATTCACAAGTGTTATACTTTTTATTTGTCACATGTCTGTTTTAATTTATTGGAATATTAAATTAATGTATAATGCATGATTCATAATGCACAATGCATGAGTCCAAATGAAGACATACCTGAAATACATGTCAGTACTGCATTGTAGCATTTTCAATAACATTTTCGGGCTTGACAGTATTTGTTGCGCTAATCTGAATTACTTGAAAGTCAGCATGAAATGGCATTCAAAACCAGTTTATCTTCTGATGCATTTCAGTAAGTATGTTTCTATGTCTGTTTATAATCCGATTGATGACTCAATTGACCGAAAATACTTCATGTAAACAACTCAGTCGATCTGACTGAGCTCGAACTGATCAGATTAATCGGTTCTGTTGATCGGTTATATCTGAAATAACCGATAAACAGTAAAAAAAAAATAATAAAAAAAATAGGCATGTAAATTCAACTGTTTTCTCAGTTGAAAATCCCAGTATTGCATTGTTTATGGTTCATATAAACAGAACTTTCAGAATCTGAAATCGGATTGGATTCATTCTGAATGATGAAAATGAGTGCATGTAAACATAATGAGGAAAAAATGTAATGCAACTGGATCATAAAATGATGAGAGGAATGGAAATTTTGGAAATTTGTTGTTTTTGTTTGTTTGTTTGAATAGCATGCAGCAATGAATCACTCATAGTAAGGCAAAGGGAGTGCATTAAGAAAGTAAATGAGGTTCATTTTGATTTCATGCTGACTTTTTAAATACATTTTTACTATAATACTGAAGGGCTTGACTTTATTTCATTGTGCAGCTCAATACAAACAATGACAGACCTGTGAGGCGTGTCTGTAAAAGCACCTCTTAAACATAATGCTGGAAATTTCCACAGTCGTGAATTATATATTTGCATACCAGACAAAAGACACTCATGTTCCTTGGAACCAGTGTGAAAGGCTTCATGGGGATTTTACAGTCTCCAGCTATGAGGAAGTGCTGAAATGTGTTCGGTGCTGCAAAATAGCTCAGAAACACTGACAAAAGCTCTTTGTTATAGAGGAAACAAACATAGAATTGCAAGACGAAGTAGTTCATACTGCCATTTTGGGGAAAGAAAATGAGTAAAAACCACCCTAGTCAGTAACATTGTAAGTCTTTACTGTCACTTTTTATCACTGTAACATATCCTTAAATAAAAGTATTAATTTCTTTTAAAAAAGAAAAAAGGCATACTGACCCCAAACTTTTAAACAGTAGTTGTTGTTCTTTGCTCTTCTTTTTAACTTTTTATTCATCAAAGAATCCTGAAAAAAAGTATTAAGCAGCAAAAACTGTTTTCAACACTGATAATAAATCAGCATATTAAAATGATTTCTGAAGATCATGTGACACTGAAGACTGGAGGAATGATGCTGAAAATACAGCTTTGATCACATAAATAAATTACATTTAAAAATATATTAAAATAGAAAACTGTTATTTTTAATTGCAGTAACATTTCACAATATTACTGTTTTTTTCTATATTTTTGATCAAATAAATGCAGCTTTGGTGATCATAAGAAACTTTAAAAAACATTTTTTTTAAATGCCAAACCTTTGAATGGCAGTGCATATATATACAGTGGGTACGGAAAGTCCCAAAAAGACTCATGGCTGTATTCGATCAAAAGGGTGCTTCTACTAAATACTGAGCAAAGGGTCTGAATACTTAGGACCATGTGATATTTCAGTTTTTCTTTTTTAATAAATCTGCAAAAATGTCAACAATTCTGTGTTTTTCTGTCAATATGGGGTGCTGTGTGTACATTAATGAGGGAAAAAAATTAACTTAAATGATTTTAGCAAATGGCTGCAATATAACAAAGAGTGAAAAATTGAAGGGGGTCTGAATACTTTCCGTACCCACTATATATATATATATATATTTGTTTCAAAACAGTATTTTAGATTCTAGTTAGATTCTCAGTCAAGTAAAAGTTGTAGTAATCTTAAAGTTATAAAACTGTAGATCATTATTAATGTCTGTCATCAGTTCATTATCTCTACTGTCTCTTATATTGAGCCATAATTAATTCAGATTCTGTCCTCACTTCTGGAAATATCATTTGGTAGATGATCTTCTTCCCCCAAAAATACACAGATGAGATATAATATATTTTAATTTTCACAACTCCTTATGAAGTTGGTGTTTGTTTTAGGTCGTGGTAACTTGTTAATGTGTCTAATCCTGCCTTTTAAAGTTCAGTTCTTAACTGTGAAAGTTTGTTTCGCCTTCTGTTTCATTCTGTTCTCGGCAATTAGTTTAATGTCTGTTTAATGAGCGATAATCAAATTGAACAGGTGCATGAGTTCATAATGTGTTTTTTCAGCCAAAACCATGTTAATGAAGGTTGGAATTTTTATTTTACTTGTTTTTTAGTGTAGAAATGAGTGAAATTCATGCAGGATTTTAGGTTCCTCAATTATGAAAAGAATATGATTTCAGCTGTAAAGTAGCTCTAAAAGCACACTAATAAAGAGTGTCATTATTCAGCTCTATTTAGTTGAATGCTGTTGATGTGTTTTCAGGAGTTTCATCCATCGATTGCTGTATCTGTCCATCTATTTCTCACACAGACGGACGGCTGAGCTGGACATTGCATTGAGCTGTGCGCAGCTCAGGAAAATTAGGGTGCATAACCTTTTTCCATTATTATCCATCATATCCAGATACTGATTGCCCATCGATTGAGAATTTTATTTTACATGAGGTTTGCACTTATTAAATCAGCCGGACTCTACTATGTGCACTGCAGAAATGGCTGTAGTGAACACACTGATATTTTATTAATCTAATAGATTTGCAACAATGAGCTTGATGCTGATTATTATATATCGGCTCTCTGATTGATGTACTTTGTCGAGAGACAACGTTTGCATCTCATGCAGAAGCAGGACTAGCAGATGCGTGAATGCGTTTAATTAGCATGTGGGCAGATTTGCTTTCTCCTCTCCTGTGCACTTTTCCACTATATCACCAAACAGCTTGACAGATGCGTGGTTTGAGTGAACTGGATGCACACACACTAACACACACACACACTCTCTCTCTCTCTCTCTCTCTCTCTCTCTCTCTCTCTCCCCCTACACTTTTGCATTTTAATGTGATCTTTGACTCTCTATTTTAAAAGAAAAAAAGAAAACAGCTGCATGCAAAAATGCCCTCATGTTGATCCAGACCTCTAAATGCTGTTTTTTCTCCTGTAGGAGTACAGAAGGGAATTTTTTTTATCTCTTTCAATATGAAAAAGTTCATATTGACCACAACTGTCAAACTGCAAAAGGACAAAAATCTATCTTTCTATCTATCCATCTATCTATCTATCTATCTATCTATCTATCCATTCATATATATATATATATGTGTGTGTGAGACAAAAAAATCAACAAAATGCAAAATATGAACAAAAATATAATAGTGATATTATAGTTAATAACTATAGTAACTATTATTAACTAAATCTAAAAACATAAAAAATCATTAATTGCATTGCCCATCGATTGAGAATTTTATTTTACATGAGGTTTGCACTTATTAAATCAGCCGGACTCTACTATGTGCACTGCAGAAATGGCTGTAGTGAACACACTGATATTTTATTAATCTAATAGATTTGCAACAATGAGCTTGATGCTGATTATTATATATCGGCTCTCTGATTGATGTACTTTGTCGAGAGACAACGTTTGCATCTCATGCAGAAGCAGGACTAGCAGATGCGTGAATAAAATATAATAGTGATATTATAGTTAATAACTATAGTAACTATTATTAACTAAATCTAAAAACATAAAAAATCATTAATTGCAATAAAATAAAATAAAAATTTATTTGAACTTTAATTTAATGTAACTTTAAAAAGTTACATTAAATTAAAAATGTAAAAAAAAAATTAATATAAATTTAAAGACATTTTCATTACTTAAAAAAATAAGCATTAACTGTAATAACATTAAAAAAACATCTCATTTTCATTTAGTTTAAATTGAAATACTAAAATAAAATTAAATAAACTAAAACTTAAAACAATTTAAAATATATATATACAACAAAATTCAAAATGTTGGCAAAAACTGTAATAGTGATAAAGCAATAAGCCCCAAGAAGCCGTGGTTTGCAGTGAATTTATAACAGCTAAGTATTTATAACGAAGCAGAGTGCCTAAAACCCCCTTAGCTGTCATAAATTCACTGTAAACCACGGCTTCACGGGGCTTATTGCTTTTATAAGACGGTTATTCCATATACGTAGTAAGGTTTCACAAAATAAAACAGAGCAAATAAAGTGCAATGATATTAATAAAAACAGTATTCTTCCACCAAACAATATAGCTCCTCAGAAACAGTTGTGGTTGCAATAAAGTGCTTGCAATTAAATAAAATTTGAGTCTGTTCAATGCACAAAGCATCATATGACTTCATAAGATTTTAATATAGTCATATGCACTACTGTTAAGATTAATGCTGCTTTTATGGTGTGTTTTTTTTTGTCCTTGGCAGTCCTGGCATGCTTGAGACCACATGAGGGTTAGTAAATAAAGTCATTTTTCATGATTTGTTGAGCTCGTTGTTTAAATGTGTGTGTGACCGCGTTATCAGACGCAGTCAGACATTCGGATCATGCGTCTCTCAACAGGACGGATTTGAGCGCATGTTTCTGGCCTGTGTTTCATCCGTCACAATGGGAACAGACAAAGCTGGCCTGCTGTTGTTCTGGTCATGCGGTTTATTCTTAGTCTCAATGTCACAGATGAAACAGTAGAAGTGGGCAGCATTGTTTACTGTGGTATTTGAGCAGCAGGTGTGGCAGTAAATGCTTATAAATAACCTGCTGAGTGCAGCGCAGCTCTCACACCCTAAACTCTACCTGAATCACACACTGTACACTCGAACACGTCAGTGTCTGCTCACATTCATGCAGGTCACTACTATAAAGTCTCTAAATTACATGAGCTGCATTTAAAGCTGCCGTAGAATGCAGATAAAAACATGTGAAGCAATTATGACACACAAAGCTTGTGATGGGCGTCATTGGTAGTTGATTTGGGAAAATTGATCAATATAAATGTGACATACCAATGTTAAGTTAGTGTTATATTTTATATTTAGTGTTATTCTATGATTTGTATAATTGTAACAATATATATTTCTATTTTGTGTCATTATTAGTTGTAATAAATATAGTATTTAAACTTGAACTTATTCATTTAATGTTATTTATGTACTATTATTTTATAAATATTTTGGATTTACCTTTTATTGTTCAATTTTAGGTTTTAAATTTTTGTTAATTTTTTTTTTTTTTTTTGCATTTGTCACTTTCATCCGTTTTTTTATATTTCTATTTTCCTCTATTTTTATCTCAGTATTAATTTGAGTAATTTCAGTACTTCAGCTTTAAACTTAAGCATAATTAATTTAGTGTTATCATTATAGTATTTATTAATATTTTGAATTAGCTTTTATTTTTCCATTTTTAGTTTTAATTTGAATTTTATTTACAATTTTAGTAATTTTGTTGCTTTTGTCATTTTTATATTTCTGTCTAGCACTATTCTTTTTTCTGTATTAGTTTTAGTAATTTCAGTCCTTCAACTTAAACTTCTTTATTAATTTAATGTTAGTTATGTATATTATAGTATTTATTAATATTTTGAATTAGCTTTTATTTTTCAATTTTCAGCTTTAATTTTAATTTTAGTTCATTTTTTCAGAAAAAAATGTTTTATCAGTTTGTTTTTTTATATTTCTATGTACTGTAGCTTTCATTATTTGTTTTAATTTCGGTACTTTAAAAACTTATTTGAGTTAATTTTCAGTTTTCAACATTTCAAAAAAAAATTTTTTTATTTCAGTTAAGGAAACAATTTTAGTTATGGCTAAACATATAATACATAATAACAACATTATGGCACACATGAATGCACCAAATTGATATGCTGCTTGACAGTCTGTATTTACATTAATTAACTTTTTCTAAATAAACTGTTGTTTATTTCAATTATAAAGGTTCATAAAGGCAACAATATTGTGAACACTGGTGTTTTATCATAGAATATTTTTAATACTGATATTAAAGCAATAAATATTAAGACTTGCACAGTTTGAGACATTATTAACTTATTAACATCATCATAATTTCCAAATCGAATGCTGATGTGACTGCAGACAAACACGAGCAGCAGGATCTCATCTGAGCTCTTCTTCAGAGGCTTTCATGCAGATCTGAGCGCTTTATATTGCTGAGATCTCAATGCATTGTTTCCACAGATCTCTTTTCCCACAGCTCCTCTATCCCACAATGCACTGGTCCATTGTGTCATTCCAGGTCTTCTGTCCGCTGATCTCACTGTAAGTCTATCTGGATGCTTTGAATTGATCACTGCTCCTGCTGTGGCTCTATATTTACACCTTGAGGAGGAGTTTGTGGAGGTCATCTTCACCGCAGAGACAGACAGCCGGAGGAGAAGCTGAGAGAGTTAAAGGAGGTGAGACAGCAGGAAACAATAAGGAGACTTGAACAGAAGAAGGAGAGACGGGTGAAGGTCGAGGAGGAGAGACGTCCTGCTGATCATCTTAAAGACCTGAAGAACGTGAGTGGATTTATAACTTCAGCACTTGCTTTAGTTCGTACTTGAAGCCTGTTCTGCAAAATACTAATAATCAGAAATCAAACTCTGCACAGTATTTCGCTGCAGATTCATCTCTTGCTTGGTAATGTAGCTAATACTAATTCAGTGTTTGGCCCAGTGTTTTGTCAATGTGTTAAATGCATTTACAAAACTAGTTTTCCTGTTCATTTTCTTGTGTCGAATGCTGAAACCAGTAAGAAAGGCTGTAATTAAAAAGACAAGAAGGCAACTTGCAGTATATGTGAAGAGCATGTCCGCATCACATTTAACCCCAAAAAAATCAAATGAAAGAAATTAGAAATTATATTTTGCATAAAGAAAATGAAGGCTGGTTTTATTTTTATTTATTTATTTATCTTTTTATTTATTTATTTTTGTTATTTATTATATATATTTATATATAATATATATTTTCATAAAGGGTTTTATAGCAATTATTTTTTTAATTATATTTTACATTTTAATTATTTTATCAAAAAAGTATTTTTATATGAAGAATGAAGTTTGATTTTTTTTTATTTTTTAAAAATTAATTATTGCATAAATTAGGATACAATAGGATAATCTTGCATCATACGATATAAGAGATATCCAAATTGAAAGAAAACCTATTGCATTCTATATGATGTCGAAGAGGGAATAAAGAGGGAATTTATTTGGGAATAAAAGACATACAAAATGGCGTGAATTTATGCAGTTTAATGTGTTTGAAAGACAAAAGCCTTCCAAAGGCATAGTAATACAAATTAGAGAGAATCAATGAATTATGAATAATTTACTGCCATTTTGTCAATCATATGTAATTATGTAATCAATAAAAAGTTACTGTAGTCTGATTTTGACTTGATTGATTTTATTTTTAAAATTTTTGAAGTCAAAGTTTTAGTAATTGTATGTGTTATGTTATGTTATGTTGTGTGTGTGTGTCTGTGTGTGTGTGTGTGTGTGTGTGTGTGTGTGTGTGTGTGTGTGTGTGTGTGTGTGTGTGTGTGTGTGTGTGTGTGTGTGCGTGAGTGTGTGTGTGCGAGTGTGTGTGTGTTTTCAACTTAAACTAAATTAAATAAAAAATGTTGCCTTGGTAACTACATGAAAAAAGTTGAAGTTTTGTATTTTATTTCATTTAATTTCTTGATATTTATTTTATGCATAGTAATGGTATACAATCGCATAATCAGGTTTAGGTTATTCTAACAAACCATTTTGTTCACAAATTCAAAAAACCTAATTAACATTCAGTCGTGATTCTTTGCATTCACGTTTCTCTGCACTTTCGGCATTGTAAACCAAGCGGCTGGAAAGCCCAGATGAAAAATCCTGCCGTTTGGAGTTTATGGAGTTATTTCTCATGAGCCGGTTCAGCCATCACCTCCAGAGTGTTTTTCCCCACTTTTGTTTTTCTGAACTTCTGCTTTCATTGTGAGAGACGCTGCTGGCCTGTATGCCATCTCTCTCTCTCTCTCTCGGGCTGATGACAGATCAATTTTAATATGCTGCAGAGTGACCTTTTGTACCGAATGTTCAAACAAACTGCTGATTGGGGTTCAGAGGAAAGGCCTGGGACGGGAGCCGCTGTCATTCAGCTATAATCTGGTTAAAGCGGAGGGGAAACGTGTTTCTCTGTCTGTGACGGGAACGGAGGTGGTTGCTGTAACTCTGGGGTAAATGAAGCCATCCTTCAAACCTGACCTGATTCTGTTGTGTTGGGCGAGGGGCGCGTGTGCCGTCGGGGTGATTTATGACTGCGGGACTCTCACGGGCCGCATCCACCTTCACAACTAATGAATTATTATTCTCACAATAGCTCACAAAGGGACTTTTAACAGGATTCTGACACAATGTATGTCCCTCTTCTCCTTTTCAGCTCGTTCCTGCTGTGGGGAGAACATGACCGGGTCACATTTCACACAAACAAAAAAACTGAAGAAAAATAATAAGCAGTTTTTTATTTAAAAAGAATATTACATTAAGATGATGTTTTTTTTTTTTTTATAAAAAAATTAAACATTTATTTTTTATTTTAATTAATTTGTTTTAATTTATTTATTTTCATGTACATACAGTATGTTTTTAATTTTTAATTTTTATCATTTTTTATTTAATATTTCATTTTATATTATATTATTATTATTTTTTTGCATCACAGTAATAAACGTTTTGGAGTAAAATGTGTTTAACGTTCATGAAAATAATGCTAAATATTTATATAAATTATACTTGTTTTATTTTCTGTTTTAATTTTAATTTTAAATTACTAAAGTTATAGTAATTTTATTGTGTGTGTTTTTAGTACTTCAACTTAAACTAAATGAAAATGAGTAACTAGCTGAAATAAAGTGGAGGTTTTATATTTCATTTTATTTCAGTTAATGATTTATTTTATCTATTTATAGATTTTTTTTTTTTTTAATTATTAATTTATTTATTTATTTATTTTTGGTATTGGTTTTAGTTTTAGTTAATGATAATAACTCTGAATGGCCCTAAAGGCTTTATTCTTATGCAAAAAAAATTTAAATATATAACATATTTCTTGGCAACTATCTGAAATAAGTTTGTGTTTTTTTATATTTTATGTAATTTCAGTTAATGTTTGTTTTATTTCAAGTAGTGAAAATGTTTTTATGGTTTTAGTTTTAGATAATGATAATAATAACCCTGAATGGCCGTAAAACAGGCTGAATTCAGCAACGTGTGTGTGTTTGTGTGTGTGTGTGTGTGTGTGTGTGTGTGTGTGTGTGTGTGTGTGTGCGTGTGTGTTTGTTTGTTTGTTTTTTATATTTTTTTTTATATATTTTTTTATTTATATGTATATATGAGAGAGAGTGAGAGAGAGAGAGCGAGAGAGAGGTTTTAATGCTTTCCTCTAATATAAAATATTGTATTATATTTATTTCAATATATTTATTTTTACTTGGATAGATATTATACATTTAATAAAAATAAAGTTTTGATTTGAACTATTTAAATGTATTAAATTATGTTTTAAATAGTAAAAATCTAAAATGTAATCTAAAATAAATATCTAATACAAAATATTGCAATATTTATTTTAATATTTTAATTTTTACTTAAATATTATATATTTTAAATTGTAATTTAAAATGCATAATTAATAATAATAATACATTTAAGAATATTTTAAACAGAAAGAGAGCATTTTAAAGGCATTTTTATGTAATGTAAAATATTGTAATAATAGTTTTTTTACTAACATGATTACATGATTTAAATATACATTTTATATAAATAATTAAATATATATGTATGGACCGGTATGTATACACACACACATACATACAATAATTCTTAATTTTTTTATTAATTTTATTATACATATGCATACATTTCTTTCCATAAAATAAATATTACATAAAATGTAGCCTATTTTTTTTATAAATAAACATTAATACCTTAATTCAATATATATATACAAATATATTTCTTTCTTTCTTTTTTTATGTATTCATCTAAAATAAAATATCTGATATTTTTACAGGAAAACGTGGCAAAAATATATATTAATAAAATGTATTTTTTTCCAGTGTAATGCATGCAAAAATGGAACACAAAAGATTTGTGGTATTATTTAGATGCTTTCACTGAAACTGGCTTTTCACAGTGTCACACTAAAAAGACACAGTGTCTCAATGCAGGAATGGTGAGTGATTTTCTCTGCTTTTCACACCTTCATAATAAGCTGTCTGATGCTTTGTTAACAGATGAACAGATTTAAGATGACACAGTGAGGGGAGGAGGGACAGACAAGCGGAGGAGTGACAGTCAGCTTGTCCTCTGCATGGTGCTACGTCAGGAGGCACACTGTTTGGTGGTTGGTCTTCACATTGACAGAACACCACGTGTCTGCCCAAGCATGCGGAGGGAGGGGAGGGGGGGCAAAGACTCAGTGAGGGAGGCTGGTAATGATCTGAGAGTCTGCACAATGTCTGCAGAAATTCCCCTTGATTCAGACAGCAGCCACCCAGAGCAGGCCCCTGAGAGCAGGGTTACAGCCAGTAACATGGCTGAGAAAGCGAGAGACACAAGACAGGGAAGGAAGAGTCTCTTTCAGACAGATCCAATTGCAAGTGTAACCATCAGAAGGGTGCTTACTTATGTAGAACAGATGACATAAACCCTTTCAGAAAGCTTTTAACAGATTGGCAGTGAAGACATGAATAAATACACAAAATCAGATCATTGGCCAGTCTGCTACAGCCCATCCAGTGAGGAGGGCAGTGTGTCTGCTCTCTGGAAGCTCCTAACGACAGAGGGAAGTATAAGGCTCAATATTGACATGACCTCATTAGAGTGGTTGCTGTAACTCTGGGGTAAATGAAGCCATCCTTCAAACCTGACCTGATTCTGTTGTGTTGGGCGAGGGGCGCGTGTGCCGTCGGGGTGATTTATGACTGCGGGACTCTCACGGGCCGCATCCACCTTCACAACTAATGAATTATTATTCTCACAATAGCTCACAAAGGGACTTTTAACAGGATTCTGACACAATGTATGTCCCTCTTCTCCTTTTCAGCTCGTTCCTGCTGTGGGGAGAACATGACCGGGTCACATTTCACACAAACAAAAAAACTGAAGAAAAATAATAAGCAGTTTTTTATTTAAAAAGAATATTACATTAAGATGATGTTTTTTTTTTTTTTATAAAAAAATTAAACATTTATTTTTTATTTTAATTAATTTGTTTTAATTTATTTATTTTCATGTACATACAGTATGTTTTTAATTTTTAATTTTTATCATTTTTTATTTAATATTTCATTTTATATTATATTATTATTATTTTTTTGCATCACAGTAATAAACGTTTTGGAGTAAAATGTGTTTAACGTTCATGAAAATAATGCTAAATATTTATATAAATTATACTTGTTTTATTTTCTGTTTTAATTTTAATTTTAAATTACTAAAGTTATAGTAATTTTATTGTGTGTGTTTTTAGTACTTCAACTTAAACTAAATGAAAATGAGTAACTAGCTGAAATAAAGTGGAGGTTTTATATTTCATTTTATTTCAGTTAATGATTTATTTTATCTATTTATAGATTTTTTTTTTTTTTAATTATTAATTTATTTATTTATTTATTTTTGGTATTGGTTTTAGTTTTAGTTAATGATAATAACTCTGAATGGCCCTAAAGGCTTTATTCTTATGCAAAAAAAATTTAAATATATAACATATTTCTTGGCAACTATCTGAAATAAGTTTGTGTTTTTTTATATTTTATGTAATTTCAGTTAATGTTTGTTTTATTTCAAGTAGTGAAAATGTTTTTATGGTTTTAGTTTTAGATAATGATAATAATAACCCTGAATGGCCGTAAAACAGGCTGAATTCAGCAACGTGTGTGTGTTTGTGTGTGTGTGTGTGTGTGTGTGTGTGTGTGTGTGTGTGTGTGTGTGCGTGTGTGTTTGTTTGTTTGTCTTTTATATTTTATTTAATAGTTTTTTTTATATATATGGTTTTAGTCAATGAATTGCCCTAAAAATTCATTTTTATGCAAAATATTCTATATCCTTGGGTGAAATGTGTGCTCTTGACAGGTTTTGTGAGATTAACTCTTTATTGTGTTGCCATAATAAGGCCAGGGCCACATGTAGAGTGAAGATTGAGACTATAATATGTTGCATAAGTCATGTACTCTATAATATGGTTTATGAGGTCTGTTTTTTGGAGAGGTGATGGGAATGGGCCGTGACTCGTCCTGTATCGGCACTGGTGTGTGTCTGCTGTTGTGTGTCTGCCTTCTGACAGCCGTGTCGTTCTGCTCCCATGCAGGTGCTGCCGAGAGCTTCGCCATGGCAACCAAAATAGTAACCCAGCGCTGCCAGGAGGAGCAGATGGAGCAGATGTCTCACAGCATGCAGATGTCGTCCCAGATCAAGAAGAGAAAGTTCAAATCCAGGTAGAGCCACGCTGACCCTCGAAACACGCGGTGAAAATTCCTCTGCATCAGGCCCCTGCATTCACACGCTTCCCAGCTTTAGAAAACCAGTGTAAATCATCAGCCGAATTACCAGTATTAATTAGTGAAGCTCAGTCTGGTGTCCCTCGGTCAGAGAGCAGCTGTGTCAACATACGAGCTCTTATCGGCTCCGTTCAGCTCTTCTGAGGCTTTCTAATGACGAGCCTTGAAAAGAGGACATTGAACATGTTTTCAGCGTTTACTCATCCTCGTGCTGTTTTAACCTGTAGGATTTTCTTTCTTCCATAAAACACAGAAACGTATATGATAATTCATAAAAATATAAAATGCAGAATGTCTGAGCTGCTCTTTTCCGTTCAGTATAAGTGGCTTCTGTTAGCAAGCTTTAAAAAGGACAAAAAAATCACCACAAAAGTAGTCACATAATATATGATAATATTATATTATATATAATTCTTACATATATATTTAGCTTTTTTTGGCTTTTTATATTTGATCTCTTTTTTGCCTCAAAATAACATACATTCTGTCATAATGCAAAATAAACAAATAAATATAATATAATATAATATAATATGGCAGATATTGATTTGGGTTTGACGCAACAGCTCAAATTTGCTACAGTTTTTTTTTATGACAAATTATGTTGTCAATGAATAATGACTTAAATTTGGGTCTGTTTTCACACAAACGTATCATATATGTCTTTGTAGACAGTTTTCTCTTTTGTTGCATGGAAAATAAAAGCGCAAACATTCTGTCTACCATCACAGAAATAAGGAAATATTGTGGCGATGAAATGGCATTAGGTGCTAAAATGCTCTTTAATGAATGACAGTGATTCATTAGTGTGGCACATGTTCGGGATCATGTGTGTGATCGTCTGTGGAGATTACATGACAATTACGGATGGGAAAGCAGCTGTTTCTCCCTGACATTCAGGACATGTGCTGCAGTTATTCTGAGCTCACAGAGTCATGCCGACTCCCCGCTGAACACCAGCGTTCAAGGCCAGATTTATAACAATAGACACACACAAGCTCCTCCAAAACCAACTGGGCTGAAAGCTGGCCAGGACATTCATGCATCATTGTACTTTAATTTATCACGTTAAAAATTCACATTGCAATTCAGTATAGTGCCAGTCAAAAGTCTGGAGTAATTCACATTTTCTAATGTCGTTTCTGCTTACCAAAGCTGCATTTATTTGATCAAAAATACAGTAAAATTGTGAAATATTATTGCAATTTATAATAACTGTTTTCTGTGTGAAGACATTTTAAACTGTAATTTATTCCTGTGATTAAAGCTGAATTTTCAGCATCATTACTCCAGTCTTCAGTGTCACATGATTCTTCAGAAATCATTCTAAGGCTGAATTGAAGAAATTCATGCTTTTATTCATCATGGATGCATTGAATTGATCAAAAGTGACAGTAAAGACATTTATAATGTTGCAAATGATTTCTATTTCTAATAAATGCTGTTCTTTTGAACTTTCTCTTCATCTGTGAATCCAGGAAAATGTATCATGGATTCCACAAAAATATTTGGAATAATAATAATTATCAGATTATAATAATCAGAAATGTTTCTTGAGCAGCAAATCAGCATATTATACTGATTTCTGAAGATCATGTGACACTGAAGACTGGAGTAATGATGCTGGAAATACAGCTGCACATCACAGAAATAAATTACATTTTTACTATATATTCACAAATAAAACAGCTATTTTAAATTGTAATAATATTTCACAATTTTACTATATTTTTTTAATCAAATAAATGCAGCCCTGGTGAGCATAAGAGACTTCTTTAAAAAAAAAACTTAATTATTCCAAACTTTTGACTGGTAGTTTATATAAAAACTGAGTTTCCTTTATGCAAAATATTATTTATTTTTTTCTTTCAATTTTGGGGTCAAATGTGACCTGGACTGATGGTTTCATGAGATTCCCACATTGTGGGCCAAATTCAGAGGCAGCGTGTTTTGTTCTTGTGGAGAATGCAATGCATTGCAACCTACAGTGGGAAAAAAGTTTATTATAGTATCTTAGCAACATATCAACTTGATCTAGATATTTGAATGCATCGCACATGCCGTTAACTGTTAACTTACAGTTCACCTAATAATTCAATAATGCTGCCCAAAGCTGGTGGGTTTCAGTTGCTTGAACTTCTCTTCTGACTGATTTGACAGTCAAAGTGAAAAAACCGACAGCGTTTGTAGATTAATCTCACGCATCGCCATTCTTCACTCAAGCTCATATTACACAATTAATCGCAAAAACGTCCCTCTTTTCTTTTGTTGGCCTGTCAAGACACATTTAGATCCGCAGACATACAGATGAACTTCTGCTTTTGTCAATGTATCAGTCACACGTGTTCCTCTGTGAACGGGACGAACGTTTAATAACACTAAGACAATAACACCGAGTCTAAAAATTGTAATAATATTTCACAATTTTACTATATTTTTTTAATCAAATAAATGCAGCCCTGGTGAGCATAAGAGACTTCTTTAAAAAAAAAACTTAATTATTCCAAACTTTTGACTGGTAGTTTATATAAAAACTGAGTTTCCTTTATGCAAAATATTATTTATTTTTTTCTTTCAATTTTGGGGTCAAATGTGACCTGGACTGATGGTTTCATGAGATTCCCACATTGTGGGCCAAATTCAGAGGCAGCGTGTTTTGTTCTTGTGGAGAATGCAATGCATTGCAACCTACAGTGGGAAAAAAGTTTATTATAGTATCTTAGCAACATATCAACTTGATCTAGATATTTGAATGCATCGCACATGCCGTTAACTGTTAACTTACAGTTCACCTAATAATTCAATAATGCTGCCCAAAGCTGGTGGGTTTCAGTTGCTTGAACTTCTCTTCTGACTGATTTGACAGTCAAAGTGAAAAAACCGACAGCGTTTGTAGATTAATCTCACGCATCGCCATTCTTCACTCAAGCTCATATTACACAATTAATCGCAAAAACGTCCCTCTTTTCTTTTGTTGGCCTGTCAAGACACATTTAGATCCGCAGACATACAGATGAACTTCTGCTTTTGTCAATGTGTCAGTCACACGTGTTCCTCTGTGAACGGGACGAACGTTTAATAACACTAAGACAATAACACCGAGTCTAAACAGACACGGATGTGTGGATCCTGATTGACTGAATGACTATTTCTGCCTTGAACCCTGCTGACATGATTGCATTTATGAGATCAGCACACATAAACACCACAGAAGTCTCGTAAATACCAGTGAGGAACTCGAGATGTTCTTTGAGCCCCGGCTGTCTGTGTTGAGGCGGGTTCTATTTTCTTGAATCAGAGGCGAAGAAATCTGATCATATTTTATTGAAATAATTTGTTAATATTGACTTTTTACACATTTTGTGTACTTTTGACGAAGTGTAGCTATAAAGCTTGAGAGAAAATACAGGCTGCTACTCATTTAGTCAGTTTATCAGAGAGAAATATGAAACAAGATGTGAAATTGCCAAAAAGGTTCGCTTTATTTTGATTGAATACACGTCTCGTTATAAGGACAGTGATGCCCTCTTGAAACAAGCAGATCACTCTTTTAAAAAATGCTGGTAAATCAAACAAAAAAAAATCTGCAAGGAAAATATGATTAGGTAAAAAGTCATGAAAATAACAAATATCTCGAGCCACTAAAACAATAATTCACCTTACAACTCTGGAAGAACATGGGAAAACAAAAAATATATATATTATTAATTTTGTTGCAAAAACATGTTTGCATTACTCTTTGGTACAGTAGGTTTTATTTAGTTAGTTACTTTTTTATTACTACTATATTCAAATGTGTTTTGCTGTTTCAAAGCAGGACAATAGTACTTAAGAAAGACCAGTTCAACAGTTTGGGGTCAGTAACATTTTTTGAAAGAAGTCTCTTCCGCTCATCAAGGCTGCACTTATTTGATCAAAAATACAGTAAAAACTGTAATATTGTGAAATATTATTACAATTTCAAATAAGTGTTTTCTATGTGAATATCTGTTAAACTGTAATTTATTTCTGTGGTCAAAGCTGAATTTTCAGCATCATTACTCCAGTCTTCAGTGTCACATGATCTTCAGAAATCAGTATAATATGCTGATCTGCTGCTCAAGAAACATTTCTGATTATTATCAATGTTGAAAGCAGTTGTGCTGCCCAATATTTTTGTGGAGACCGTGATACATTTTATCTTTCAGGATTCACAGATGAATAGAAAGTTCAAAAGAAAAGCATTTATTTGAAATATAAATCTTTTGTAACTTTTTTAAAATGCATCCTAGCTGAATAAAAGTATTAATTTCTGCTTTTGAACAGTAGTGTATATTACATTGTAAATGTACAATGACAAATGCATCCATTTCTAAGAGCATTAATAAGTGAGACTGTTAAGGTTAAATAAAACACATGCAATGTCAAAATAGCCTTTAAACCGGTCTGAAGCAGAGCTCTGAGCTGATGCCCATACTGTATCAATCAGAGGTTACTCAGCCTTCGCTTCAGTGTAGATCTCATTTTGTCTGATAATTAGAGAGTCTGTCTCCATCAGCTGACAGGGAGCATGCAGTGAAGTCTAAATCCAGGCCGTTAAACAGGATGGCTCCCCGTTAAACCCTCGCATGCAGCGTTATAGGCCTCTGAGAGCTCAAGCACAGACAGCAGCCATCACTCTGACACAGATGTACAAAACTAGATGGAGAACAGCGGACATTCTTAAATGAAATGAAATGAAATGAAATAAAATAAAATAAAATAAAATAAAATGAAATGAAATTAAATGAAATGAAATTAAGTTTTTATGTTCAAAGTAGAGTAAGTAAACTAAAAACTTTACTTTACTTTGAACATAAAAACTTAACTTTATACTAATAAGTTCAGTTTTTATGTTCAAAGTAAAGTAAAGTTTTTATTACTTCATTAAAGCATTAAATCATAAAAAAATAAAATATAAAATAAAACAGGACTAGATTTGTACAATTTCTGACCACAAATATATTCCTAACCTTTCAGTAAAATTAAATTAAAAAAAAATATATATATATATATATATATATATATATATATATAAAATACATTTTATTTTAATAGTTAATTTAAATATAAAATAAAATTAATTTTAAATATAAAATAAGAAAGAAAAGAAAATAATAGCAAAAAAATAATTAAAAACAAAATAAAATAAAATAACATTCTATATTCAAATAAAAAAATATATATAATATTATATATTGCTAATCTTGAATATGAGCAGTAATAGTGATGTTTGACTAAATTGAGTAGATGTGTATAGTAGTGTAGAAAAGTCTCTGTGAGGTTGTAAATGTTGTTTGTAACAGATGCAACGCTTTCAGTGTGACTGGCAGTATGACGGACAGCAAAGCTTTCTGTCAAAAACCCTCTCTTTCACTCCATCCGTCTCTCGCTTTTCTCTCTCACTGTCTCACGTCTCAGTGATGCTGCTTTAAACACATTATAGCAGCTAAAGGTTCAATTATAAGAGTTATGTATTATGTACACATTTGTGTGCTGCATAAAATGAAAGAATTGTGCATGAAATACACTGTATCTGAAGGAAGGATTAGTTTAGGTGTGCAGGATTGTCATCAGTTCCTGTTCAACAGTACTAGCTTTGGCATTTAGTGTAAAGACTGTACATACTGTAACCTCCTATATCATTTATACTTTAGTCAGTATTCTACAGAGAAAAGACCGGATGTTGTTACAGAGAAAACAAATGTTCAGTACTTTCAGTATCTGGCTTACATCATTCACACTGTCAGAGCTTGATTTGTGATTTGTGCTAACTACTGTTCACTGAGAGAATTACAGCAATGATTTAATGAATCTATCTATCTATCTATCTATCTATCTATCTATCTATCTATCTATCTAAACTATGAACATGTTTTCGAGAATACCAAAATATTATGAAAAATGTTTTCAGCCTTTCAGATATTGATCAATCAATCAATTGATATCAAAATTATTTATTTATTGTCACAATGTAAACAAATAGTTTTTTTTTGTTAATATGACTTGAATTTCTTTAAGAAATATGTTTAATTCATTCATTCATTACATTCTATTTCGGATTGAAATATGACTGAACAAGTTCTTGATAATGACATCAACATATGTCAAATTTAGCTGTTTTTTTTTAGAAACATGTTTAATGCAAGAAGTAAAATTGTACTTTAAAATATATTGTCAATATATTGTTAATATTCAATATTTCACCCCCTTGTGGATGCCCATCAAATCAGCTTCAATCATTTTTATCTTTGTGTTTGTACAGTGATGAAACGGCCTCTCTGAGTGAATTCTATCCCATCATTCCTGGTGACATAATGTCTGTGAAGGAGATCCTGACCGAACCCAAGTTCCCACGCAACCGGATATG